AAAATTAATGAATGTGATGTTACCAGTATGAATTGTCAACCAATATTATCAAATTGTATTGTACATATAACATGATTCTTAAAATTAGTATAGTAATTTAAACTTTTTTTCTTTTTCTAAATCCACATCCAATAAAAAAAAAAGTCAAGAATGAAGATTAGGTGAATACCAATTCTCTTTTTGAAAAAAAAAAAAAAAAAAATTTGAAGTGGAGAATACTTTTGAAATCGATAACCCGAATCAACTCGGAATATTTGGGGTGTGTTTGATCCACATTATTTTTAAAAAGTGTATTCTGGAATAGTAGATTGATGGAGAGTGTGTGATTGAAAAAGAAGGAAAAGTTATTGATGTGACGGAAAATATTATTTTATTAAAAATGTGTGGTTGAAAATGAGTAAAAGAATGAGAATGAAGAAAATAATGTGGTTCAAACAGGGGCTTGTAATAAAAAAAAGTCAATTTTTCTATTCCCTATTTCGGTGAGAAAAATATTCTGAAATTTAATTATTATAATAATTTCATTTCAACCCATCATCATGATCGGTCACCAAAAATTGGGGTGTTTGATCCACATTATTTTTAAAAAGTGTATTCTGGATTAGTAGATTGATGGAGAGTGTGTGATTGAAAAAGAAGGAAAAGTTATTGATGTGACGGAAAATATTATTTTATTGAAAATGTGTGATTAAAAATGAGTAGAAGAATGAGAATGAAGAAAATAATGTGGTTCAAACATAGGCTTGTAATAAAAAAAGTCAATTTTTCTATTCCCTATTTCGGTGAGAAAAATATTCTGAAATTTAATTATTATAATAATTTCATTTCAATCCATCATCATGATCGGTCACCAAAATTGTCTCCGGTTTTTATGGTAGTTTTGACTTTGACTTTCAACTAAATTTTATTTATATATTCATATTAATTTTGAATTTGGTTTCAAAAAGTGATACTAACTAGTAATATTATCTACAAGTACCTATATAAAGATGAAGAATAGGGATGCTATTTCCATTATGATCCCAATAAAATGATACAGATGATTCTCGTCCATCTACACATTTTCGTCTAACCAAATTTTGTAAAGCTAGTAGGGATATGCAAGAACAAAATATTTTTAATGCAAATGCATACATATTTACTCGGGCAATGGTGGAGCCAGGAACTAAGTTCAATGGAGAAATGAATTACTTAGAGAAAAAAAAATTGAAACAAATAAATGAAAAATAACATTAAAATTATAAAAAAAATACAACTATTTTTTACGGGTTATCGTGCTTTGAAAATGTTGTATAATGACATTATTTTCAATTTTATCAATTACATCTTTTTAATATAGACATTCAAGTTATTATTCATCCATTGATCTCAAATTTAGCTGCTTAGTCAATTATATTATAGAAAATATTCATTTAAAAAATTTCTCCATAACTTGCTACATGTCAAACAAAATAAAGTCCCTGTAAATATAATTACACAATTTTTATCGAATTACAATGCTCAAATTCTAATTAAAAAACTTGTACATTAATTAGAATGTCCACATCAAATTCAAAATCAAGTCAAATGGCCTACAATAAGTCTAACAATAAATTAAGCAAATCAAATTAAAAAAATAAATATAAAACACAATAACAGCCGTCCTAACAAAGTAATAATATAAACTGTCTAAAATAATTTAATTAAGAAAGGAAAAACTATAAATAAAAAATAGTGAAAATTACATATACAGGTATTTAACATTTTCAATTCAAAAATCAGGTTTAGGGTTTTTTTATACAAAAATCAATTATATTTTAAATATTAATATTAATAATAATATAAATTAATTTATATACTCACACCTACCTTATTTCCTCTCCATTCTCTCATCTTCCTCTCATGTCCATCTCTCCGTCAGACTACGCCATCGTTGGAGCACCCGTCACCAAATACCAACCCCATTTCACTTCAAATCCATTTTCATTTCTTCTTCATTCTCTCTCTACCTCCCCATCTTTTTTCTACTCTACATATCATTCTCTCTTAATCGGAGCTCCGGCCAGAGATCTGGCCTCTCACAGCTGCGCGGCACGCAGCAGACATAAAAAATGAGTTTGAGATTCATTACAATATTTTTTGGAATCAAATGTTTTCTGTAGTTTCGCTTTTAGCTTTTAGAAATTTTTATATAGTTGGTGGTATTTATGGTGTGGTGGTGTTTGTAGGTGGTTTTTTGCGGTTGGTGGTGTCTTGTGGTCGTTGTGCAGTGATTTGGCAAAGTGGTGGTGTTTCTAGTGGTGCCGACAGCTGCAACTTTGGGTGGGGATTGTGGTTGTGGTGTGGTAGAGATGGAGAGCCGGTGGTGGTGGTGTCGGTGGCGTGACTGAATCGTTGGTGGTGCAGCGGCGATGGTGCTATAGTGATGATATGGTGACGAGTTGTTTTGTTGGTGCCGATGGTGGTTGTGACCAATTATATACGTTGTTCTGTTGGTGCCGTCGCAATGATTGTGATGTAGTGGTGGTTTTTGGTGATGAGTTGTTGGTTTGTTTCAGGTGATGGTGTTGTTATCGGGAGGTGGTGGCAACAATGGTGTTGGGGACGATGCGACTGGATGCAGTGGTGAGGTGTGGTCACAAGTATTGGTGGAGGTCACAAATTATTTGGTTGACTTGTGACCAAGTATTGGTGATGGATCGAGATCAGGGTGGGATATTTGGTGTATGTGACCAACCGTTTGATTATTTGTAACCAACTATTTAATTGTGGCCTAAAAATTCGTTAATTTGTAACCAACTATTTTAGAATCTGTGACCGACGAATGAACTGTGACTTATAAATATTTCAATTTGTGATTGTGAAGTAATTGTAACCACTAAATAAATTGTGACCTATAAAAACGTATATGTGACCATTAATTGTATAATTGTGACCTTATGTTTAATTAATAAAATATTATTCATTTATCACCTGAGTTTTAAATTTTGAAACTTGTTGCGTTTTTTCTATCGCAAGTGTACGATATCGTAACAAGCAGTAAAGTGGATCTTTGAGTGCGGATATCGTTCCCACGAGGACTAAACCTTTAGTACTTAATACATTTTTCCTACTACTACTTGACAGAAATAGCCAATAAAAAAACGATGAGTGTTGTGAGAATAGATTTTCCTAAATCAACTAAATGCCTAAGACTATGGAAACGAAAGCAATGAGAATTATGATGAATGACAAACACAAATGATTGAAATTTCACGTATATAGAATGTATTAGGGCAAAACAATTTCACTTTGATCACCTTAGTTCCAAACTCAAGATTCTAGCCTGATGTAGTATTTGGTCGAATTCTCCTACGGTATTCAACTTACTCCTCTCGAGTTCTCGTTGAGCATATTCAACTAATTCAATTTCATATCTCTATGTGAATTACCCTTAGTTAAACGAGTTATGTCACTAGAAATTCATATAACGACCGCAACACATAGTATAAGTATCTCTACACGTTATACATTGTTACCGAATTTTATTACACATTCTAAGTCTCGAATTCGCCTCTTGATTCTTAAGAAACTCAATAGATCATTAAATTAGTGGCCAGAAAATTTAAAGCATTACATTCATGACAAAATAAACACATGGAAGAATAAAAACTCAGAAATTCTTGAATCCAACAACTAAGGGTCTCAATAAGTTACATTATTTGCCCTAATAGAAAATTTAGCTTCTCATAATCAAAACAAAGAAATAAATAACAAAATTTGAATATATCACCGGATTTAAATGATACAAAAGTTGAAAAAGGATTAGCTCTTGCACCCAAATCTCTTTCCACTTCCAACCTCTTGATTTAGCTTGAATCCTTGATATAATTTTTCGCGTGAAATTGTCTTCAAACTTGTATTTTTCTCTTTATTTTGCAAGGTGTGGAACCCTTATTTCGTGTCTTCCCAGTCTATTTATAGTTCCTCACATTCATGGCCAAGTTGGAGACTCATTCATGGGTTTTTCGTAGCAAAAAAAAAAAAAAAACAAAACCTAAATTTTACGGCGCAGCGCCAGGAGCGAAAAGGCAGCGCCTGGCACTGCACCTCTGTTTTTCTGCTGCTGGTGCAGCGCCTAGTCCTTTATTCTTCTTTCCATTGCTTCACATCCCTTTTTTCATCATTTTATCATTCTTTCAACCAAAGCACTAGCAAACACATTAAATTCGTTCTATAATTAACAAATGAAGCTAGAATGGTCGTGTGTAAAGCACACTCATCAAAACTCAAAACCTAGAAATTGAATTGGCCATAGTTAGAGGGTGTTTGGTAATAATTAAAATTAGATTTTTATTAGATTTTGACACAAATTTTTGAAATGTGTGGTTGAAAAGTTGTGGGACTCATGAAGTACGTGGTTAATATTGATTGTTTGACCTTAACTTGAATTAAAATCAGATTTTAATCGAGACCAAACATGAGCTTAATATTTGAGTTGTGAATTTTTCCCTAAAAATGATTTTTTTTTTTTTTTTTTGCACAAAGTTGGGAGAGGGGGGTCCCTAAAAATTAAATTCTTATACCCTTGTTTGGTAGAGATTATTGTGAATAAATTTTGTGAAAAGTGATGATTTAAAAAGTAAGGAAAAATTATGAGTTCACGTGTAAAAATAGTTTGTTAGGAGAATGTGTAATTAAAAACATGTAAAATGAAATTTATGAAATGAGGGGATCTATATTTGGCGGAGGGCATTTTTTTTTATGATTTATTGATTATTAGTAATAACAATATTCAACTCCTCAACTTTCTAAATGACGGTATATTCTGGAAGATCTTTAGGATCTTGCCAACTTCTTTTGAATGAAGACTGTTCCCTTTGAACAACTCAGAAATATTCTGCTTTCGATTTCCAGTTATAAATCCTTACCATTTTATAGTTTATTATTGCACTATAGTATCTTCTCTTTAGTCTTGTTGAATTTAGACTTTAGAAGTTTTCAAGGCGGCGAATACAAGAAAAAACTTTAGCAACAACACAATGCGGAAGCGGAACGTTGGTATGGAGTCATTGGTTCCGCCACCGCCGCCTCTTCTCGTTTGTGGATTAACTAATAAAGAGCAAGAGATGTCAGAAATGGTATCAGCTTTGGCCCATGTAGTTTCGGGCAATCCGACTGAAGAAGCTGTGCAAAGACCGGAAGATGCCACAGGTGGCGGTGGCGGTGCTAATCCTACTGCATCTTCATGGGCTGTTGGAGATAAGAGGTTACGTCAACAGCAAAGCTCTAAGCAGTTATCTGAATCGTCTGATAGAGTTTACAGGGCACATAGTGATGTTTCCTCTGGATCAGGTATATAAAAATTTGCACTCTACCTCGTCTAAAAGTTTTTTTAAAATTTCAGCTTCAACATTATTTTTCTGCAATTGAACTGCAGAAGCAGTATATACGTATACTACTACTACTACTACTACATATAATAACTTTGGCCATGGGGGAAGCAATAGAAGATACCGAGGGGTGAGACGGAGGCCATGGGGCAAATGGGCTGCTGAAATTAGAGATCCATCCAAGGCTAGTAGGGTTTGGCTGGGAACATTCAATACTGCTGAGGATGCTGCTCGAGCATATGATGAAGCTGCGCTCAGATTTAGAGGCAACAAAGCCAAACTCAATTTTCCAGAAAATGTTACTCGACTCCTTATCCCATCTTCATCTTCAGCTGAACCTAGTCTTCATACTCAAACTCGCCATCAATTGCAGAATCCTACAGAGAGATTGTTGACATCAGCATTTCAGTCTCCGTCGATTTCTTCCGAGAGCATGCTGTGTTTTCCTCACTTTCCGGCACAGCCGCCGGAGAATTTCAGGATCGGCGACAGTCAAAGCAGGAGAGGCGATATTGGACCTCAGTTTTCAAGTCATCAGAATTCTTCCGGATGATTAATGTTCTTATTCGTGCTTTTCGGTAATGTAATTCGACTGCAGAATTTTCAATCTGAAAATCGTTATGTTCTTACCATTTCAACTACTTTGCGCTGACGATAGATAAGACAGTAGCCACTACAGTAGAGTGGAGTTGATTCGCCATCAATTGCAATCTCACAATTTTATGTTTTTCATGAGAAAGTTCTTTTGTGAAAGGCCAATGAAGACTTGCATTTCAATTCTATGTAAGACCATGTTCGGCTAAGCTTAATAATTATAAATTTATATTTACTTAGAAGTTAAAACATATGTTTCGAAATGAGCAAATTGTTCGACGGATATGGTGTATGGAGTGACAAACAAACACCTGTAGAATCTTTATCAAATTTCTGTAGGAATTTTGGCAGAGTAACGACAATGAAATTTCAAATGAATAACGCCAAATGGATGCAAAGTCGAGACAAGTGTTGAACACTTTGTCCTTAAATTGAATTTGCTTTACAATGGTGCCTACGGTTTATGGTAATCAACTCCTAAGATACAACAACTTTTTCTTGTGTGAGTAGCACTTCAATACACAAGAACAACGAACCAAAATTTGGTTTATGTACTCCTTAATCCAAAAATGAACAAAACCAGAATTTTTATACAACGTGTATGCAAAATTTGGTTGAGAGAGAAAAAAATGTTAAGCTATGATTGCATATCATTGGTACTAAGAAAAGGCGTCCCATGGGTCCTATTTATAGAGTATGAGGGGTTGTGGACGAAGTGTTGCGAGCCAAACCTCTTAAACTTACGAACAGAAGCAACTCTTACCGTTGCTAGCCTGTCGCTGGCTTCTCGCTCAAACGACAGTGACACATTTTCATTCTCTCACTAGCCTGTTGCTGGCCTATCGCTCGAGCGATGCGCGAGCAACAGAGATAGTCATATTTCAGCCCGTGTATCATTTTTCTCTCTAATTTTGGACCGCAATTTCTCATTCATCCAAAATTGGTTTTGAGATTGTAAATATACTACGACGATCTACTCGACGAGTACAACAAGTTGGTTTATTTACATATGTAATTTGACCATCAAATCAGTCCGAATATTTGCTCAAATTTGACACCGAGTCACTTGTTCAAAATTATATTTAACCAAATTTTTGATTTCTTTAAACCAATTCCAACAACCCCTACATGAATGGAAATTCCTTGATATGCACAACATAATGCAAATGAGATGCAAACTCTAATAAAGGAGTACGTGTGACAAGTTATAGCTTCAAGATAGGTGGCTTGTGACTTTGAACTTTCTTTAGTTGAATACAATCGAATTTACTAAACTAATTGGTGAACGCGACGTCTTGAATCATTCAGCCATTCGTGTAAATTAAAACAACTGCACTAACGCCATAACTCATCTAACCATTTCGGTTCTCATGGTTGTATTCATTTTAGTCTTGAACAACTCTTGGTTTCATAAGTGTTTTAAGAGAATTAAGCCTCAAATTCTCATAGAAGCGGTCTCACTTCACATTTATATAGATGATCTCCTATAGTATAATACATTAGGAATCATTAAAAGTATACTTTTATCCTTGAATACTTTCTATTCCAACACTTTTTGTAGGAATGAGAGTAAGTGCTTTATAATGAATCTTTCCTAACTTAGTTATCCCATTGAACTAAAATCTTGTGTCTCCAATCTACAAGGTTGGGTTTCCGTTATGTTGATTCTATTCGATAGTTTTTTGCCCATTCCCCTAGAAAGATGATATACTTGATTTCTCGTTAATCATTTCGTCAAATGATCTGCTATGTTGTCTTTTGATTTAACATAGTTAATCGAGATTATACCATTTGATATTAATTGTTTAATTGTATTATGTCTCCGACGAATATGTCGAGATTTACCATTATACATATTATTTTGTGCCCTTACAATAGCTGATTGATTATCACAATGTATATTAATCGCATGTACCGATTTTTCCAACATGGTATATTCTCGAGAAAATTACGAAGTCATTTTGCTTCTTCTCCAATTTTATCTAAAACAATAAACACAGATTCCATCGTGGATCGAGCTATACAAGTTTGCTTTGCCTCTAATAGTAAACACATAATCACTTGTAGGCTTTGAATCCTTTGTGTCAGATATCCAATTTGCATCGGTNACCTTGATTAATTTCTATATTTGCTATTTGATTTTAAATTACTTATTTTCATGTGTTTCTATTATTGTGATTATTGTATTTTCATTTATGTGGCCAATAGATGATTGTGTTTAGTGAATTGTAAATCGTTCGAGAGAAGATTGTGCATTTTAGATCAAATAGTAGAAATCCTAAGTTTGTGTAATGTGTAATGGATAGAGATATACCATTAGCCCTAGGTGACCCCATGAACTATTTTCACAATGATTGAATGTGATTACTTGGTTGTAATGGACATAGAGATATAGTATGTTAAACCAATCAATTAGGGCTAATTTCACTCGAATCAATTAGGGTTAATTTCACTCGAAAGAGATAATTAACTAAAATTGGAAGATCGGGTCTAACATAGTAAATGAGTAACTCATTAATTGGGTTGTAGAGAAATTAATTAGGCGACGGTTAAGCGAAATCACGAATCCCAACCACGTTTTCCTCCAAAATCCCCAAGCGTTTAATTTTTTCTCATTTTGTAGATTTTTAGTTTATTTACCATTTTTCAATCTATGTCTTTATTGTGTGTTTGTTCCATTTGTTGTTAGAATTAAAATTGATAAAGTTGCGTAATCTAAAGTAACATTTCTCGAGAGATCGACAACCCGGACTCAAAAGGTCCACTTTATTACTTGAACGCGACCCGTGCACTTGCGGTATAATATTTTCAAGCGAACAAGTGTTTGGCACCGTTGTCAATGAATGTTTTTACTTTGATTACCACTTTAGTTAATTTTAATTTTAACAATTTTTTTTTTAGTTTTATTTGCCTTTATTTTATTTTTTTTGTTTACTTTTGGCTAACCCTCATATTGTTAATCTATCTTGCGTTTGTATTTTCTCCTCGTACTTTTCAGATATTTGCTTGATTCTGACTTTGGTAAATTAACAAAACTTTTGCAATGACAAATCTCATTATGGACAATCAAGAAATGCTTGGAGAACATTCAAGTTGTGATAATTGTAACACGGTGAATTATACTTGGCCATGCTTGTTCTCGAACACA